ACAAGACGACTGGAAAAACATTTCATATTTATGTTAGCTTATTCTACTGTTGGGTGTATTTATCATGTTCATATGTTAGGTAACATGTTTATTATATAGATTTGAACAAAAAAAAATCATAGATGGATTAATGAAAATGTCTATACAGTGGTACCTCGGGATACGAATTTATTTCGTTCCAGAAGGCTGTTCAATTGCCGATACCGAACGAATTAGTTCCCATACGGATTACTGTAAATTTGATTAGTCCATTTCAGACCCTCAAAAATACACTTACAAAAGCACTTACATAAAAAACTTATATAACTGTTTGAGTTTTGAGCTGTTCATATCCCGAAGTACCACTGTATTAATGTAATGTACAACACTTAATGTACCTCAGAGTGATTATTATTACTGCATATTACTGTTTTTATCATTATTAATATGGTGTCTTCAAAACTAATAAGGCACTCTTAGTGACTTAAATGTGTACCCGCATGCCAGCACAGCGTGTAAGTTTTCTTTCGTACAGGTACACATAAGTACAGTTATCAGAGTACAGTGGACCCTCGACCAATGATGGCATCATATAACGTTAAATCCGACTTGCGATACATTTTAATGCAAAAAATTTGCCTCGACTAGTGCTAAAAAACTCGACCAATGCGATTCGTTCTGTTCGAGACACGTCCATGTGTGGCCTGAGCATGCCTCACTTGTCCCATGGGTGCCAGTGTTTACAAGCCAGCCACCGCGGTCGCATACAAACATACAATCGGAACATTTCATATTATCACAGCGTTTTTAGTGATTGCACCTGCAAAATAAGTCACCATGGGCCCAAAGAAAGCTTCTAGTGCCAACCCTGTGATAAAAAGGGTGAGAATTAGTATGGAAATTAAGAAAGATTTTGAAGGGTTTGGGGCTAACCCTGAGAAGCCTATGCCAGTTGTGGAATCCATTGTGCCTACTTCAAAGATTAAGGAAATGTGTGCAAAGTGGGTTGAACTGCAAACCTTTATGGATGAAAATCACCCTAACACAGCTATTGCAAGCCGTGCTGGTGACTATTACAATGACAATGTTATGGCCCATTTTAGACAAATCTTAAAGGAACAGGAGGAACAGAGCTCTATGGACAGATATGTTGTGTGACAGAGGTCCAGTGACTCTCAAGCTGGACCTAGTGGCATTACAAGAAGGGAAGTAACCCCGGAAAAGGACTTGACACCTCAAGTCCTAATGGAAGGGGATTCCCCTTCTAAACACTAACACCATCCACACTCTCCCTCCTCCCATCCTATCAATCATCACCAGATCTTCAATAAAGGTAAGTGTCATGCAATTGTACATGTCTTCTTCAGTTTTGTGTATTAATATTAATATTTCATGGGGTGTCAGGAACTGATTAATTTGATTTCCATTATTTCTTACGGGGAAAATTAACTCGACTAACGATAATTTTGACTAGCGATGAGCTCTCAGGAACGGATTAATATCATTGGTCGAGGGTCCACTGTATATATAAAATATAATGCCCAGGGAAGTACTACCATCCTGCCAAGTGAGTGTAAAATGAAAGAATGTAATTCTTTTACATGATGGTAGGATTGCTGGTTTTTTTTTCTGTCTCATAAACATGCAAGATTTCAGATACACGTCTTGCTACTTCTACTTACACTTAGGTCACACTATACATGCATGTACAAGCATTTATATATGCACCCCTCTGGATTTTCTTCTATTTTCTTACTAGTTCTTGTTCCTGTTTATTTCCTCTTATCTCCATGGGGAAGCGGAACAGAATTCTTCCTCCGTAAGCCATGCGTCTTGTAAGAGGCGACTAACATGCTGTGAGCAAGGGGCTAGTAACCCCTTCTCCTGTATACATTACTAAAGCTGAAAAGAGAAACTTTTGTTTTTCTTTTTGGGCCACCCTGCCTCAGTGGGATATGGCAGGTTTGTTGAAAGAAGATATAAAATATGAAATAACTTTAAAACACTTGAAATTTTAGAAAATTTCCAGACATAATGGAGACACATGGTGCTCATGGAGCTCACGGAGAATGTAAACAAACCAGGTGGGGCATGGTGACTGTATTAGAGAGTCAGGTGGGGGGAGTCGTACAGCGAGTTTTGGTCATAATTTGAGATGTCAGTATTAGCGGAACTCCATAAGGCAAAACGCCATAAAGTGGAGCGCTACTGTATTTGTAACTTGACCAGACATTAACCCTTTCAGGGTCCAGAGGCCAAATTTCAAAGGGTGCACCAGGGCCCAAGAATTTTCACAAAATAATTTTGTTATGTTTTCTTATGAAATGGTACAAAATCTTCTGAAGATAATAAAACAAAAAGTACAAAATTTGATGGAAAACTGACGAAATTATGCTCTCGTGAATTCTGATGTGTCAGCGATATTTACGCATCGGCGATTTTGCGGACTTTGACTCCCATTTTAGGCCAATTACATTATTTCAGTCGACCAAATTCTTAGCTATTTTACAAGTATTACTTTTATTCTATCAACTGAGCACAAGAATTCACCAAGTCAACTGTTTTAACTACAAAATAAAGTGATCGGAAATAGGTAATTTGGCCAATTTAATGCAAAGTTCAAAATACTTCAATTTCAAAATAGGGTCCAGAATAAACAATGCAGACATTCCTGGCACTAAACTAACATTTCCTCTGTTCATTAGTTACGTTTTCAGGCTTTACTAATGAATTCCATTTTGATTTTTTATTCACAATGAATTTTTATTCAAACCAAAAACTAGAAGATTTACTGTTATGCAATATTGTAATAACTGTATAAATAATATCAGCACATTTGTGAACGTATATTAGACCCACCAGCTGGCGTGTATTAGACGTGTGAGGTCATTTGTTTACTCTTGAACATCGCAAAAATTTAACATTTCCACTACTTTGAGCTCAGTTTCAAGCCATTTCCAGTACTAAAACCAATCAAAATCATCTCTATTTCTGTAACATGTCTTCCATTCTATCAAATGAGATCAAGAAATCGCATATACAACTAAAAACATAAGATAAAACACTGCAAAGTCACTGTTTTAATCGAAAATTACGATCTCAGTTTTTTTTCTCTCATTACGTACTTGTGCTGCAGAATTTGTTTTATGTGGTGCACACATACCACATAGATGTATTCTCTCATATCAAGGCCAAAATTCACCGCTCACAGCTTATCAGAGTGAGCTGAGCTCATGATGTAGATCTACGATTTGGACCCTCAACGTAAAGCCACAGATCTACGGCACGGACCCTCAAGGGGTTAAAGCAATGCTTTGCCTACCTAAAACAAACAAACTATATTTCTTTCTCCAGTATGCAAAATGTAATTTGCATGAAATAAATACAGTGGACCCCCGGTTAACGATATTTTTTCACTTCAGAAGTATGTTCAGGTGCCAGTACTGACCGAATTTGTTCCCATAAGAAATATTGTGAAGTAGATTAGTCCATTTCAGACCCCCAAACATACACGTACAAACGCACTTACATAAATACACTTACATAATTGGTCGCATTCGGAGGTAATCGTTATGCGGGGGTCCACTGTATTGTTAAGCACAAAAGAAAGCCATAGCATGCTGTGCATTTCTGGCAGACTGATGCTAATGTTTACACACTACTTAAGATCTAGACATGTACATAAAGTGAGGTAGTTCAGTGAACAATAGTACAATTTTAAGTATGCATTAATACAAAAAAAGAAGTAGCTCGATGAAAAGATTACAATTTTAAGGACTTGGAGTTTTATCAAGCCAATGCCTATACAGTGGACCCCCAACTTACGATATTAATCCATTCCAGAGAACACATCATATGACGAAATTATTGTAAGTCTTATTAATTTTTCCCATAAGAAATAATGGAAATCAAATTAATCCGTTCAAGACACCCAAAAGTATGAAAAAAAACAATTTTTACCATATGAAATATACATTTTCCTACACACAAAAAGAAGGATATGTGCACAATATATATTGTGCATGTACTAGTGTACTAAATGAAGAATAAATGACACTTACCTTTACTGAAGATGTAGTGATGAATGATGAGTAATGTAGGTCCTGTTTGGCATTTTCTTCCAGAACAGGCCTTATCACACTGTGTATGCCACTATGATTCTTAAATCTCTCAAACCAACCTTTGCTGGGCTTAAATTCACCAATATGAGCACTAGTTCCAGGCATTTTTTCCTGTTCACCTGGGTGTTAATCGACTGGTATGGGTTGCATCCTGGGGGACAAGAAAATGGAAATAAGTTAGACAGTCCTCGATGACACACTGACTTTCTTGTGTTATCCTGGGTGGCTAACCCTCTGGGGTTAATTGTTTATCTGTATTCTTGATAAGCCACACCAACATCAATCTCTCCACATCTTCGAGTAGTACAGCTGATCGTGGTGCAGCAACAGCAGCAGACTGTGGTACAGCAGAAGCAGCAGTAGCTGACCATGGTGCAGCAGCAACTGGCCATGGTACAGCAGCAGCAGCAGGTGACGGTGATACAGCAGCAGCTGACCATGGTACAGCAGCAGCAGCAGCTGATGGTGGTACAGCAGCAGCAGCAGCTGACTGTGGTGCAGCAGGAGCTGACTGTGGTACGATAGTATTTCTCACCCTTTTTACCACAGGGTTGGCACTAGAAGCTTTCTTTGGGCCCATGGTGGCTTATTTAGCAGTTACAAGTACTAAAAACAATGGAATACAAAATTTATCGAATGTATTTGTGCAACCGTCTGCCCTGGCTTGTAAACAATGTCACACTAGCCCAGCTGAGGCGCTCAGGCCAGCCGGACCAGACGACCACATTCGGGACGAATGAGGTAAGTCGAGTTTTTCAACGTAGGTTGGGGTTCAAATTTTTACGCTGACAAGCATCGTAAATTGGTTTTATCGTAGGATGAAGCCATCGTAAATCGGGGGTCCACTGTATTATGTGACACACTGAGTATACATGGATACTCTTTTAGTTATCAACTTACTCCTTTAAGATCTGGCAACATAAGAACACCTAGGTGTTCAGCAGAGCGAGCGAAGTTAGGACGGTTCATGGGTTCCATCTCCCAACACTGCAGCAGCAATGTGTATCTGCAAATGAATAATTAGTCAATTATTCACACCTAAACCACAATTTGGAGGGGAAACTTTAGACAATATTTTTGTCATCCCTAGACTTGATAATGGTCCATGACAAACTGAAACATTGTTCAATGCTTTCTCTTCAACTTCTGTTTATTTTTTAATAATTGTGTATATTATTATTACTGCAAGATATTAAACAATAAAATTTCATAGGTTTGTAAGCAACATTGTGTCCCGGTTTATACAAAATACTTTACTGGAAGTCTATTAAATGAATATACAATATCAGTGCATTTAGTGAAAACAGAAAACAAAAATTAAAGTCTAAAATTATTACAAATTCTGTAAGTTAACACCTATGCTGACTCACAAAAGATTAAATCTTTTGTTGATGAACCTTCCTGTGAAGTACAAAGCCAGTGAATAAAAGCTTCACAATTATTAAAAAGTGTTGGTGCTGACGGGTATACTCCAGTGTAGTCAAGATATACTTTTCCATTCTGCCATATACAGCTTCTGATCAGCTGACCCATGGTCTCAAACTGGTCTGCATGCTGCTAGCATAAATAACCTGAGTTATCAGGCTGGTAACTAGAAAGCTGGCTACACTGGTAAGTAGGTAGACCCAGAGAATGGCAAACTATTGTAGCCTAATTTACCTAAAACATTTAACTTCTCACTTAGTCTTTTCCTAGTTCCTTTACACCAATTTCGTATCTACAAGATATTGAGTAGCTTCTTTTATTTGATATATTATTATTTTTTAAAGCCACCTGTCACCCACTGAGGCAGGGTAACCCAAGAGAGAAGAAATGCTTTCATAATGTTTTTCGTTTTCCTCTTTCTTTCAACACACCGGCTGTATCCCACCAAAACAAAGTGGCCCAAAAAGAAAACCAAAAGTTTATCTTTTTACATTTAGTAATTTATACAGAAGGGATTATTAGCCCCTTGTTCCTGCCAGTTTAGTCACTTCTTACTACACTCATGATTTATGGAGGAAGGATTTTTTCTCTGCTTCCCCATAAGGCTATATTAATTTTTTATTTATCACACTGGCCATCTCCCACCAAAATGAAACATTTTTACCATCATTAACTTTTATCAATGTCTTGCCAAAGGCACACAGATACTGCAGTTCAGATGCTCATTCCAAAATTGCAAATATCCTCACCCCTCCTTTAGAATGCAGGAACTGTAGTTCCCACCTCCAGGACTCAAGTCCAGCTAACCAGTTTCCCTGAATCCTTTTGTTAATGTTACTCTGCTCACACTCCAACATCATCTTTCTTTCTATCAACAAACCGGCCGTATCCCACCGAAGCAGGGTGGCCCAAAAAGAAAAACAAAAGTTTCTCTTTTTAAATTTATTAATGTATACAGGAGAAGGGGTTACTAGCCCCTTGCTCCCGGCATTTTAGTTGCCTCTCACGACACACGTGGCTTATGGAGGAAGACTCCTGTTCCACTTCCCCATGGAGATAAAGAGGAAATAAACAAGAACAAGAACTATTAAGAAAATAGATGAAAACCTAGAGGGGTGTGTGTATATATATGCTTGTACATGTATGTGTACTATGACCTAAGCATAAGTAGAAGTAGCAAGACATACCTGAAATCTTGCATGTTTATCAGACAGAAAAAAGACACCTGCAATCCTACCATCATGTAAAACAATTACAGGCTTTCGTTTTACACTCACTTGGCAGGACGGCAGTACCTCCCTGGGCGGTTGCTGTCTACCAAGCTTCTACCTAGAACCCATCAGCATATCATGTCATAAAAACCACTTGCCTCCACTCCTAACATGTTCACACACACACCTCCTAGATGTCTATGTCCCTTGCATACAAAATCTCATTTACCCCTCTCTCTCCCTCCCTCCAACCTTTCCTAGGGCGACCCCTACCCTGCCTTCCCTCCATCATAGATTTATACACCCTCCAAGCCATCCTATTTTGCTCCAACCTCTCTAAATGTCCAAACCACTTCAACAACCTCTCCTCAACCTTCCGGATAATATTTTAGTGACCCCCACACCTAATCTCCACACTACGAATTCTCTGCATAATATTTCCATCACACATTGCCCTCAGACATAACATCTCCACTGCTTCCAGCCTCCTCCTTGCTGCAACATTCACAACCCTTGTATTAGTACACCGTGTATGCAATAATCATTCTTATAACAGACGTGATGACTTACAGCCACCAGGCTGCATCAGGGTGCCTGGGATACATCAGATAAGTAATGGAGGTAATGTCAGTTATTAATATTATTCTTATTATTATTATATTTTATTATGGGGAAGGCACTAAGCCTGTTCGGGATTACCCTGCAACAAGGAACTAGAAGTGAGAGATAATCAAGTTGAAACTTCTACACGTTAATCATGCATTTTAATACTTAATTAACAGAATACGAACATTTCCTGGTTTGCATATTTTGGTTTATCCATGCGGTAGCCATTCTCAAGCAGCTCCAGGAAGTCCTTGTTGACCTCTATACCAGGGTAAGGTGTAGAACCTAAGGAGAAGATTTCCCACAAGGTGACTCCAAAGGCCCACACATCACTCTGGACACTGAATATACGATCACGGACAGCTTCCACTGACATCCACTTAATGGGCATTAAATCCTGATAGAAAATTAATCATATATTAGTTAAAACAAAATTTAATATACAATATGAAATTTATATATGATGAAAAGTCTAATGACTGTAATCTGTCTGTATCACTTAATAAAATAAAAATTTGTGAACACAAAGAATTTTAACTGGACAATGTAATCAAGACACAACATTATTCTTAAAGAATAAAACATTTTCTAATAATTTTATATAAAGAATCAGAAGTTACAAAATCTTCTTTCAACGCACCAGCTGTATCCTATCGAGGCAGGGTAGCCCAAAAACGAAAGTTTCTCTTTTTAACTTTAGTAGTGCATACAGGAGAAGGGGTTACTAGCCCCTTGCTCCCGGCATTTTAGTCACTTCTTATGACACGCATGGCTTACGGAGGAAGAATTCTGTTCCACTTCCCCATGGAGATAAGAGGAAATAAACAAGAACAAGAACTAGTAAGAAAACAGAAGAAAACCCAGAGGGGTGTGAATACATATATTTTTTTTTCTTTCAGCACAACGGCTGTATCCCAACAAGGAAGGGTGGCCCAAAAGGAAAAAAAAGTTTCTCCTTTTACATTTAGTAATATATATAGGAGAAGGGGTTACTAGCCCCTTGCTCCTAGTATTTTAGTCGCCTCTTACGACACGAATGACTTACAGAGGAAGAATTCTGCTCCACTTCCCCATGGAGATAAGAGGAAATAAACAAGAACAAGAACTACTAAGAAAATAGAAGAAAACATAGAAGGGTGTGTATATATATGCTTGTACATGCATGTGTAGTGTGATCTAAGTGTAAGTAGAAGTAGCAAGATGTACCTGAAATCTTGCATGTTTATGAGACAGAAAAAAGACACCAGCAATCCTACCATCATGTAAAACAATTATAGGCTTATGTTTTACACTCACTTGGCAGGAAAGTAGTGCCTCCCAGGGCAGTTACTGTCTACCAACCTACTACCTAGGAAGTTACAAAATACTATTTATAAATTCACTATTGTAGATAGGGCAACATAAGTAGTTGACAGCAACATTATTAAGTCCCAGGTATGCATATTATTTTGGGAAAGCCCTAAGGTAAAGAAAATTTGATCTATATGTTGGGTACATAGTATAATGATTACATACTGTATTTCTTGTATTTAGGAAGGACCTTCAGAAAGTGACACAATTTAGAGAAAGTAAAGTACATACTGTACAAGAATTACTGAACAAGTGGAGTGATAAATGGACGACAGAATTTAATGTATCTTAGTGCCATATAACAGACATGAGAGCAAGTGAATAAAGGTCACACAAAGAATACAGTGTGATAAAATATTAAAGCTACACGACAAGGTGAGGGACCTAGGAGTATATCACTGAGTAAAGATTGTCACCAGAATATCATATAAATGAAATAGTGGCAACTCTTATGCAACACTAACCAAAAGTAAAGTAACCTTTAGATACTGAAATGGAAATATGCTAAAACTCTGTTCACAAAATATTTAAAACCAAAATTGTTATTTGCAACAGTAAAAATGTGTTTGTGTACCTAAAAAAAAGTCAACAAGATTTATTAAACTTTAGTATATATAAAATAATAGAAAAAAATGTAAATCCTTTCTAAAAATGTAGTCAAGTTATTGCAGATGTTTTGTGAATCTTCTTATGAGTAACTTGACACAATTTTATAAAAAATATTAATTTATTTGTGGACATATAGACTAGCAGAGCTCTTAGAAAGTCTTCACTACATTTGCTAAACATTAAGTCATCTAGTAACTCAATTTAGTTTTGCAGTTTCAGTTAAATTTGTGTTTTCATCTCTCCTATTCTGTCTTACTCTTGGTTTGTAGTCTTCAGACATAAAACTCAGAAAAATACAGTGGACCCCCGGTTAACGATATTTTTTCACTCCAAAAGTATGTTCAGGTGCCAGTACTGACCGAATTTATTCCCATAAGGAATATTGTGAAGTAGATTAGTCCATTTCAGACCCCCAAACATACACGTACAAACGCACTTACATAAATACACTTACATAATTGGTCGCATTCGGAGGTAATCGTTATGCGGGGGTCCACTGTATCTCTGCTGCAACTTAAGCTCCTTGTATAAAAGATACCACTGAAGAAATCTATTAATTTAGACAATGTTGTACTTCAACATTGTTAACTCATCACCTGACCTGAGAGAGAAAACCAAGCACAATACTACAAGGTTTTTACATACATCTCCTTTCTTCATATAGACGTCTTTCTTGTACATTTCTCTTGACAGACCAAAGTCGCTGATTTTTACAACGTTGTCATTTGACAAGAGAAGATTTCGTGCAGCTAAATCTCCATGAAGAACCTGAAAAATAAAATTACTAAAATTAGGCTTGTCTGAAGAAGCAGATGAAGCTATCAGTAAGGAGTACGAAGAAGCCAACATCTCAGAGATACAGTACAAGATATCTTGCCCGTGTTTACTTCAGTTTAGTCTCATAAAATGTATAATTGTAATATGTACAACAGTGAGGAAGGTTGGCTTGTTAAGAAGTACTGATATGACAATGTCTGACTTGGTAAATTTAAAAAATAATACCACACTATTGATGAACAATATTTATTCTTTTCTGCACTAAAAGTAAGTTAAGTTTGTAAAAATTATATCCTAGTAAAATACTACAATTAACAGAAGTATCATCATATAAGATGAAGAAATACCAGGTATGTATTAAGTAACTATGGCCCTTATGGATTTAGTACTTAGCTATGATTGTAATAATATTAACTGTATTAAGTCAACAGATATAGGAGATAAATTATAGGCATGAATCAACACTAAAGGCACAATACCTTTCTGCGAGTGAGGTAGTCCATTCCTTGTGCAACCTGCCAGGCCCAGCATATAAGAACACTAGTTGTGAAAGGTGCATTAACACCTGGTATGTTACCAATGTCATAAGAGAAAGGGTTTCCTTGTGAATCCAAACCCAGCTGTGAATATTCTGAAAGTGAAACAGAGAATATGAATTTGATATGGTACACATGACAAAAATGTAGAATAAATTTCTGTTTTTGAAAACAATTTTTAAATACATCATCCATTTCTCACCGTGAAAAGGTGATATAAAGAACAACATATTCAATCATTCCCTAGCTGTCTTGTCAGAAATGCATGCAAAATTAGTTTTCTCTACAAATATTATTAACATTTAATTTTTTTAAATGTAATTTTTTTTCAGGAAAATATTTTTCTTATTCTTTCAACAAACTGGCCGTATCCCACCAAGGCTCGGTGACCCGAAAGGAAAAACACAAGTTTCTCCTTTTAAATATAGTAATACAGTGGAACCTCAGTTGTCAAACTCAATTCATTCCACTCGTCAGTTCAACAACCAAAATGGTCAACAACCACACCAATTTTTCCCGATAAAGAATAAAGTAAACAGAATTAATCCGTTCCAGACCAAAAATGACAATATAATAATTTATTAATAATACTGTACTGACTACTACATAAAACAATGTATAAAAATATACAGCACATGGAAACTGTAAAAATGTATACTAAATGAAAATTTAAATAAAATACTGTACAGTAAATAAAAATTTAACTGCTTCTTACTTGTCAGAGGAGAGCTAATGGCAAAATTATAGCGGCTTCAAATATTACAGGAGAAAGCTGGTAGGCCTACATGTGAGAGAATGGGCCTGCATGGTCAATGTGCGCAGTATAAAAAAAAATCCTGCAGCACACAGTGCATGAGAAAAAAAAAAAAACTGCAACCATATTTTTGGTTTAAAACAGCAACTTTGTGGTGTGTTTTCGTATGGTATTTATGGTTGTATTCTCATTTTCTTGGTCTCTTTTGATAGAAAGGAAGACATATTACAGAATTAAAGATGATTTTCAATAGTTTAAGACTAAAAGTAGCAGAAATGTAAACAAATCATGTCATATATCCAATACATGTCAACTGGTATGTCTAATATGTATTCACAAATGTGCTGATATTATTGCAATTATTACAATTATGCAGAAGTCTGAATAACAGTAAATTTTCTATTTTTTAGTGTGAACAAAAATTCAAAATGAAAAGCAAGCATAATATAAGAGGAGCCTGGAGACATGACTAATGAACAGATATGTTATTTTATCTGTTCATATCTGCATTGTTTATGCTGGACCCTATTTTGAAATTGGCCTTTCTTGAATTTTGTGTGAAACTGGCCAAATTAGTAATTTCAAATCACTTTACTGGCTAGTTGACACAGGTAAAGGGGCAGTTTCTTGTGTTCAATCGATAGAATAAAAGGGGTTCTAGTGAAATAGCTATGAGTTTGGTCAACTGGAACAATGGAATTGGCCCAAAATAGAGTTCAAAGTTGGCGAAATCACTGATGCAAAAATATCACTGAGATCATTAACTTTCCAATAGTGTAATTCTGTAAGTTTTCTATCAGATTTCATACTTTTGGTTTCATTACCTTCACAAAATGCACAGCAAGAGCTCAAGAGATATTTACAGCACATGTATTAGTTGCTATGCTGACTGAGACCGACGCTGTGGACTCTTGATCATGTGATCTGAGAGTTGTCGGTCGACAACCAAGATCATATATGAAAACCAAATAAAAAAAATCAGTTTGAAAACCAATTTGTTCAACAACTAGTCCGTTCAACAACTGAGGTTCCACTGTATATACAGGAGAAGGGGTTACTAGCCCTTTGCTCCCATTATTTTAGTCACTTCTTATGGAAGAAAATATTTTATAGCATTATAAAAATTATGATATAACTCTGACTATGACAAACACCAACCACCATCCTACACACCCCGTGCCTGTTGTTTCAAGGCTACATTAATTTTTACCATCCCTGCTAACTACAAGGGATAACGGATATTGTATGTTGACTAATATTCAAACACTGTAATATATGTTTGGTTGCAGTGATAAACAGAAACAAAGCAAACTAAACATCTTACACTAACCTGAAGGAGACAAAAGTGATGGGGACATAGGTGACTGAACTGTTGTCATGTCAGTGTTAGTGATTTGTAGGTCATTTTTACAATATCCAATTGATCCAATATCAGAGTTGGTGTTGGATCTTGTACTGTGTAGTCTGGAGTCTCTGGAACGTGGAATCTGGGACCCTCCTGAGCTACTATTTGTCTTTAGATCATCTTCAGGACAGTCACTCACTGAGCGTTTTAAACCAACATGGTACATCGGGTTATCCATAACCTGTCTTGGAGTGCCATCTAACTTACAGGATCCTGTCATGGATGTGGGAGACTGTGGAGGAGATGATATGCTAGCTCTTGGAGGTGTTGTCAAGCTGAACTTGGAAACATTAGGAGCCAGATATCCATCCTGGTCTGTTATAGGACCAGTTGGATATCCTCTGGAGAGACAAAAAAAAAAAAAAAAGCAAAATTTATTATTTTAATTTGACAAGATTTAGAACTAACTGTGCAAGTCTGCACAGAAAATAAAATTATATTTACCATCAGTAAATACAGTAACACCCATAGAAACCGAGATGAATCAAGTGCAGTAAAGTCCCTTAAAATTAAGAAGTACAGTACATGTACTCTGAAGGATGACTAATTTTTTTTTTTTTTTAACCCATCAGCCATTTCCCACCAAGGCAGGGAGACCCAAAAAAGAATAAACACTTGCATCATCATTCAGTCCATTACTGTCTTGCCAGAGGTGTACCTACACTACAGTTATAAAACTGCAACTTATCAACACTCCCTCCTTCAGAGTGCAGGCACTGTACTTCCCACCTCAAGGACTCAAGTCCAGCCTGCCGGTTTTCTTGAATCCCTTCACACTCCAGTAGCACATCAAGTCATAAAAACCATCTGTCCCCACTCGCTTTTATCTAATATGCTTGTGCATGCTTAGTCCAAGTCCAAACCCCTCACACACAAAACCTCCTTTACCCCCTCCTTCCAACTTTTCCTAGGCCAACTCCCACCTCGCCTTCTTTTCACTACATATTTATATGCTCTCCAAGTCATTTTATTTTGTTCCACTCTCTCTAAACATCCAAACCACCTAAACAACCCCTCCTCAGCCCTCTGGATAATACATTTAGTAATCTCGCACCTCTTCCTAATTTCCAAACTACAAATTCTCTGCATTATATTCACAATGCACATTGCCCTCAGACACGACATCTCCACTGCTTCCAGCCTTCTCCTTGTTGCAACATTCATCACCCATGCTTCACACCCACATAAGAGCATTGGTAGAACTTTACTCTCATACATTTCCCTTTTTGTTTCCATGGATAATATTGTCTCCACAGACTCCTCAGTGCATCGCTCTCCTTTTTTCCCCTCATCTTTTCCCTTCGTCTTTCAATGTCTACCACCAAGGTAGGGTGACCCAAAAACAGAAACATTTTCACCATCATTCAATACTTTCACCATCTATGTACAGCTCAGGACATTTCTTAAAGGAAATGTTTTGCCACGAGTGGCTTCTTCAGTCCTAATACAGAGATATCTAAGACAACAAGTATATAGTGGCAGGAGTCAGGTGAAATATCGTGTGAGCGGTGGTGGTGACAGCAGCAGCAGACGAGATGACGACAATAACGAGTTGGGTTAAAGAAGGACCTGTAGACATCGTGTTACAGCAGTCTCCAGAATGGGAAATATCCTGTTGATCAGCAATTTGGAATAGAGTAACTACCGGACTTTTGATGGTTAGTGTTACTACACACTACTACTACTACCAGTACCACTACTAGCGCTACCCATGCGATCTTTCACATGACTCCTGCCACTATACATACAATGGTTCCTCGGGTCCATTGTATGTATAATGGAATCAAAATATTGGCTCGGCTAACGCCCAAAAACTCGGTTAAGGACATTCGTCCAGAACGTGTCCGCGCTGCCTGAGCCACCCGGCCATTCCATGTACAGCCAGTGTGTCACTGTTTACAAGACAGTGAGGATGATTCGATGCGTACATGCAATATATTTTGTATTATTCCATTGTTTTTAGTGCTTGTAACTGCTAAATAAGCCACCATGGGCCCAAAGAAAGCTTCTAGTGCCAGCCCTGTGGTAAAGAGGGTGAGAAATCCTACTGAACTGAAGAAAGAGATCATCGCAAAATACAAAAGTGGAGTGTGTGTCTCCGAGTTGGCCAGGTCATATAACAAACCCCATTCAACCATCACTGCTATCTTGGCCAACAAAAAGGCAATCAAGGAAGCTGTTGTTGTGAAAGGTGCAAGTATGCATACAAAACAGAGATTGCAAATACTCAAAGATGTGGAGAGACTGTTGTTGGTGTGGATTAACAAGAAACAATTATCAGGAGATAGTGTTTCTCAGTCAATAATATGTGAAAAGGCAAGGCAGTGGCATGCAGATCTCATTAACCCTTTGACTGTTTCAGTCGTATATATACGTCTTCCGAGCCACCGTGTTTGACGTATATACATATACTCATAAATTCTGTGGAGACAAAGAACTTTGTCCTTGGAGGCAAAGAGGGGAATGTATGAGAGTATAGTTTTACCAACGCTCTTATATGGGTGTGAAGCATGGGTGATGAATGTTGCAGCGAGGAGAAGGCTGGAGGCAGTGGAGATGTCATGTCTGAGGGCAATGTGTGGCGTGAATATAATGCAGAGAATTCGTAGTTTGGAAGTTAGGAGGAGGTGCGGGATTACCAAAACTGTTGTCCAGAGGGCTGAGGAAGGGTTGTTGAGGTGGTTCGGACATGTAGAGAGAATGGAGCGAAACAGAATGACTTCAAGAGTGTATCAGTCTGTAGTGGAAGGAAGGTGGGGTAGGGGTCAGCCTAGGAAAGGTTGGAGGGAGGGGGTAAAGGAGGTTTTGTGTGCGAGGGGCTAGGACTTCCAGCAGGCATGCGTGAGCGTGTTTGATAGGAGTGAATGGAGACAAATGGTTTTTAACACTTGACGTGCTGTTGGAGTGTGAGGAAAGTAACATTTATGAAGGGATTCAGAGAAACCGGCAGGCCAGACTTGAGTCCTGGAGATGGGAAGTACAGTGCCTGCACTCTGAAGGAGGGGTGTTAATGTTGCTGTTTAAAAACTGTAGTGTAAAGCACCCTTCTGGCAAGACAGTGATGGAGTGAATGATGGTGAAAGTTTTTCTTTTACGGGCCACCCTGCCTTGGTGGGAATCGGCCAGTGTGTTAATAAAAAAAAAAATAATAAATTCTATCTGCCTCAAATCAAGCAGGAGAAAGCTGGTAGGCCCACATGTGAGAGAATGGGTCTGTGTGGTCGGTGTGCACCATATAAAAAAATCCTGCAGCATGCAGTGCATAATGAGAAAAAAAAATCGCGTTTTTTTAATTAAAATGCCAACTTTGTGACGTATTTTCGTTTAGTATTTATGGTTATATTCTCGTTTTCTTGGTCTCATTTGATAGAATGGAAAGCATATTATAGAAATAGAGGTGATTTTGATTGATTTTACTATGAAAAAAACCCTTTAAAATGGAGCTCAAAAAGGGGAAATTTTTTGATTTTTTGCCAATGTTAAAAAAGTAAACAAATGATGTCATTTCCAATAAATGTCCAACTACCCCATTCTAATATGCGTCATGGGGGGTTGACTTTTATTTATACAATTTTACAATATTGCAGTAGTCTGCAAAAACAGTAAATTTCTATTTTTTTTTAGAAAAAAAATTAAAAAACGAAAACAAGAGTAATATAGAGGGCCTGGAGATGTGATGTGAGCAAGAAAAAGTTATTTTAGGTCAGGGAATGTCGCATTGTTCATTCTGGACCCTATTTTGAAATTAGAAAATTTTTTTTAAATTTTCGTGAAATTGGGCCAAATTGCCCAATTTTTGACCACTTTATTGGGTAGTTGAAATCGGGAAATGGGGGTTTTTTACCAATCATAAAAACAAATGGAGTTCAAACAAATAGTTTGGTTTGGGGACTGCAATAATTAGGAAAAAAGGGGTCCAAAATTGGGGGAAATCCCAATTCGTATATTCTGAGGTCGCTAAATTCGCAGGAGGAAATTTTTCCCTAAATTTTCCATCAAATTTCAAAATTTTTTGGGTCATTAACCCTTGGGGAAAAAATGCTCTATCATTTCACAAGAAAAAATAATTTTTTTTTTTTTAAATTTTTACGACCCAGGGGACACCTCAGGATTTTTGGGGGTTTTGACAGTCAAGGGGTTTAAAAAAATGCCTCCAAATGTCTCATATTGAGAAATTTTAAAGGGAGCAAAAAGGCTGGTTTTAGAGATTTAGAATCAGTGGCATACAAGTGTTTAAGGGGATGGTGAGGCTGCATTTTGACAAAAAAACTGCTGAAAAAAAAAAAGGTTTTTTTACTTTAAGGGGTACAGGGTTGAAAAAATTTAAAAAACCCCAAAAAGTGTTCAATTGGACGAAAAAGGCTGTTTTGGGAAAAAAATGCCAAACGGGCGTACATTACCAGGAGGAAAAAGCCTCCCAGGCACAAGCCTTGAAAGACAGGCTAACTCTTGTTTTTTAGTAAAGCTTGGGGATTGCAAAGTGAAGCCTTTATGGTGTACACTCTGAAACTCCCATGTTTTCAAAAAAAGGCGTCAAGACTAAATTGTGTGTATGTGGAAGAAAAAAAAATAAGGCATGGGTCACTAGGGGCATTTTCCTCGATTGGTTCTATGACACATTTGGCCCCAGTGTGAAAAAATACCTCCTGGAAAATAAATTGCCACTCCAGTGCCTCCTGTTAGTGGACAATGCTCCTGCTCATCCTCAAGACTTGGAAGAGCGAATTGTGGGGGAGTTTAGTTTTATCAAAGTCAAGTTTTTGCCTCCTAACACCACTCCTCTCCTCCAGCCCATGGACTAGCAGGTCATTTTAAACTTCAAAAAAACTGTACACCAAAGCAGTGTTTCAAAAGTGCTTTGAAGTGACCTGAGACACTAAATTGACCCTAAGACAGTTCTGGAAAGATTACTTCAGTATCCTCAGTTGCATAAACCTTATAGGTAAGGCTTGGCAGGGAGTGACTTCCAGGACTTTGAACTGTGTGTGGAGAAAATTGTGGCCAGAATGTGGCTTGGGGCTAACCCTGAGGAGCCTATGCCAGTTGTGGAATCTATTGTGGCATTGGGGAAGATCATGGGGTTGGAGGTTAGTGGCGAGGATGTGGAAGAGGTGGCAGAGGACGACGATGAAGAGCTAACCACTGCAGAGCTGCAAGAACTTGAGGTGCAACAGCAACAGACCACAGCTCAGGAATTTACTTCAGAGGAGGAGGAAGAGAGATGGAGGAAGTTGCCTTCATCAAAGATTAAGGACATTTGTGCACATTGGGTTGAAGTGCAAACCTTAATGGATGAACATTACCCTAACACAGCTGCTGCAGACCATATTGGCAACATGTA